AAGGGCTTTGCTATTTAGTGTGGCTGGCTTCATCCCATGAATCGGTGCTCTGGAAGGAGGCTCGTAGGGAGGGAGATGAGAAGGTTGAAGAAGAAGTACTGYGTRGCAAGAAGGGATTGGTTGATTCAAACAAGAAAAGATCTTTCACAAAAATGGAAAAACCAAGACTAGAGAAGCAAAAGGGTAGCACTCAGGGGGTGGRTTTTATGCGTGTGGGAGCAGTGAACAGCCTGGGGGGTGGCAGGTCTTTTGCACAGGTTGTAACCGGCGCCAACTTGACCTGTTTGAACAAGGAAAAGTAGCCGGTCCAAGGAAGAATTGGATCTAGACCGGATAAAACCAAACCGAGTGCGTGTGACTCTTTTAAAAGTCACGTGAGGCCACAGTGGCTTAAAAATGGGCCAGAGCCAAAGCCCATTCGAAAAGTCTTGGGTGCGATTAAAGGCCCATTTGGGTCAGCGGGCCCGATCCAGTGGTTTAAGAAGGCACATGAGCCTTTAGTAACTCACGTGACTGGGGACACGACTAAGATAGACAACGTTAATGGTCTATCATCGTCCCCAGTCGCGAGACAAAGGGGGGAACGCGCACAACGCCGAAAAACAGAGAAGTTGCTCGACTTGCGGTGGGTTTCCCGACGAAGGCTGAAGGAGCTTAGCTCCCTGCGACGTTCCTCAGAGAAGCTGAAGCCAAGTTATGTTAAAGGAAAACCTGAAGAGAAGAACGACAAGGATGAAGGCTGAGCGCAGTGTAGTGAAGGTGAAGAAGACTCGGAGGATTGTTCGGTTGATAGTACTAGCTTGGGCAGTGTAAACGACGAAGGCAGTTGCGCTGGAGGTGACGTGGATGAGTGGAATATTGTAAGATTATTTCAGGGTGACGAAGGCAAGTGGTACAACCCATTCTCAAGACCTTAGAGTGTGCAAGGAGGATCAGAAGGGGCAGATCGGGAGAACCGGAAGCAGAGCAGGAACACACCATCAAGGGGTGAACCAGGGGTAGAGTGGAAAGATCACCAGGGTGACCAAAGGACAGAAGTACTTCCCGACCAACTCAGGGAGATAAATTTTTAGCAACCTCTGGAACAAGAGAGGGAGGCAGGGAGCAGTCCTTTTCTAGCTTGTCCATCAATCCCAGGTAACCAAGTGATTTCGGTTTGTGCTACTAATGTGTCTCCAGTGTCTTTGGTTCCAGATTCCGTTCCTGCTCCATGTTCTGTAGCCCATGATTATGTAGCTGAGCCAGCAGATGGGCTCTTCGAGGAGGGAGAGACCGGAAGGAAGGAAGGTGGGAAGGTGCCGGAAGGAAGGTTTAGGAGTGAAAAAGTCTGGGAAATTATTGAAAGAGTGCTTAAGGAAGTGGAAGGAGAGCTGATCTGGAGAGGGGAAGGGGAGGTAGGAAGAGGGG